CTACGGATTCATTTTGAGTGCTAGTCAAGATCAACCTCGGAAGATACTGTTGTTGTGCTAGCTTTCTTTATTTACTATGTAAGACCTCGCCACTGTAAATTTGTCCTATCAATAGATGTATATATGTTTTGTCTATCACATCCCAGGAATAACAGTACTGTAAATTCTTGGGGTGTGACAGCAAGCTATCTTAAGGATCTAGATAATGCGAAGTCTACATCTAGATATATGTTCATGCTTGGAGGAGGTGCAGTTTCTTGGATATGCGTGTCAAAAGAGTACGATTCCATAAGAACTCCAAGCATATAAAACCATGTTTCTATCACGTGAAGAATGAGGTGAGATTGAGAAAGATAGAGATCTAAATAAACTAAATATTCTAGTGGGAGCACCTGCTAGTATTTAACATGCCAGATGAAACAACAGACTATAATGTTGTTCACCAATGAACTCAAATGTGTGACGCGAGTTGTTTGGCTACAGAAGGGAGCAACTTATTTGAAGAACTCCTTCAAGCCCATGAACAGACGACTCCATACAATGAGGGTACATGATGGTCTTATGCGACAACAACTCTGTGATTCGTGATGCAATATGAAAGATGGGCTATGACCACTTTTGAGACAAGATCCGAGCAGCAAATAGAAAAAAAAAAAGGTGTTGCCTCTAAAAGTCTTTTTGTAAAATGATTGATGATGAAAGTCATGATTAATGTATTGAGAGAGAATAAGAAAAAATGCTTGAGAGATATTATAATTAGGAGAGAGAGAGATGGGGATGATAGAAAGTGAGAAAGAGAGACTGTAAGGCCTTCAAAGGCCAAGTGGGAGATGTTGGTTTTATATGGCCTTTAAAGGCCTTATGAGTGCTTGTAAAATAAAAGAATATAGTGGAACATGAACTCAATGAGAGTGTGGTCCCTCGTGGACCATACTATGCAAATGATGTTTGCAGATACCGGACTGTGCTTGACGATTTAAGCCAGTCGATTGGAAAAAGCTCATGTTATCTGAGCATAGAAAACAACCTGAGAAGGGTTCTAATGGGGTCATCCCTTGATGAGGTCGGAGCATATGCGAGGATGAGTGAGCCGAGGGACTGTGTGACCCTTGTGTGTGATGCGGGCCTACAGAGGCGGGGACCAAAGCCTCATCTATGTACCATCACACGACATGCATATTGATAGATCGTTTGGAAAAACAAGTAAGTCACCTTTCAGGGTGAAGCGTATACATGTGCAAGAGATACCTCTATGCACCATAGAGATGTGGTTGCATCAGATCTAGGTAACATGGACTCGTCTATAGGGGAGAACTTATAATCCACAGAGTGGGATTGCGACTCTTTAGCTCATGGACCAAACTTTGGGAACCCATTAATGAGCTCATGCTTGGACTGTGGGTCATAAAAAACATTGGGTCGGTCTGATAAAGCAAGTATAGTCTGTAGTCCATAGTTGAAATTGGAGTACCCCATGATTGTTAATTCAATTCCTAAACCATATGGATCATTTTCTCATTAAATTAATTTAATTATGTTTGTTTTATGATAAAAATTATTTTTGAATTATTATTTGAATTTTTATGAAACACTGGATATTTTATTTATAATTTTTGGATTTATAAAATTAAAGATATTGATTTTATAATAATTTAAATATTCAAATAATATTCTAAATTTTTTTTATTAATTTTAAATATATAAAAATATCATGGGGGCCCATTGTGCACATGGACCCACCATATTTCTTGAAGGTGGGGCCCATGAGTGGGTGGCACGCCCCACCCTTTATTCTCTTTCCTATTTTTTAGTGATATGACATGTAGCCATATGGTTGGAAGATATTGACTTGATATATCTTTGAAAGATTTTGTGGAAAGATTGAATAGACTTATGTTATTTTATGGTATGCACAATATTTTGATTAGATTTAATTTATTTAATATCTATTGATGGGAAAATGATTTAGGAAAGTGAGATAATGGTTCATGTATCTTCCATAATGTTGATGGCCCATCTATGGAATGGATGACTCAAATCTCTCACCCCACAAGTTACCCAATTTCAATGGTTCATATTCAATCTCACAAGAAGAAGCGAGTCAAAGAAAACCCTAAAAAACCATAATCTTATTCAAAGCCTATAAAAAGGGATTGTCTCTACCCAAAAACCTCAACACTTTATCTCTTGTACCTTATTCACATCTTTCTCTCTCATATCCCACAAAGGGGCAAGCCCCACTTAGAATTTTTGTCTTTCTCTTAATAAAAGTTTCTCTCCCTCATGAAAGCCCAAAAAGGGGCACGTCCCACTCTCCCATTTTTTATATATTTCTCTCTCCTACATTGTAAAAAAGAGCTAAGGGTTTAGGCCATGGGGTCTTCGCTCTCCCATCTCTCAACTATAGATTTGTGGCTAAGGGTTTTAAGGTGTAGCACAAAGAGAATTCATCTCTTTCAAACTAAGTTGCTAAGAGAATTCACCTAGGGTTTAAGTTTGTGATCAAAAGGGTTCATGCTCTATTGGTGTGGCTTGACCTAAACTTGTTTTCCCAGTTGAGATGGAAGGTTCATCATTGAGGTAATTTTCGGCATTCTTCACTTTTATAATTTACAATCTTATCTTTATATTCTCAAGCATAGTGCATAGTTATTTCAATGGCATCAAGTTTTAAGATCTTGGTTTTATTGTTATGTTGATTTTATTTTAAAACTTGTCTTATTGTAATAAGACCACTTGTAAATGATCTTTCGCTAAAACAAAAAGGGTAAAAAAAAAAATTTATATGATTCCCAGATAAAAGATCAAATAGGTCTTTTTTTCACTAAGAACTCCTCACAAACCCAAGAAAGGGGCTGCTCGTGGTGGTAGCACTCCTATACCTAGTTACCACATTGTGGTTTCGAATCCTGCTGACACCACCCATTGACACCTTCAAAAAAGCTAACTCCCTAATCTATATGAAAAACAATGGGTAGGGCCTATCTTCCCCATTGAATTACCAAAAAAAAAAAAATGTACTGAATTTTATCAATAAGTATGCAAAGAGACGATAAGCATTCAAAAAATAAATAAAACTCCTCACGAACACATACACATTCAATAAAGGAAAACGAATATGTTTCCCCATTTTATGTCTCCTCTGGTTGTTTATTGGAGTTCACCTCTTCTCTTTGATATTCTGGAAATGATACATATTGGGGCGATCAAGAGTAATGAAGGAATGTTAATAATTGCATGAGAGGTTAAGTTCAAACCCTTTCTTCCAGGAAAGAGATAATGTGTGATGAAGCATATGTGCATCTATTTTTAATGGCATATCCGACTATCATGACTCCGAAAGCCATATGTGTATTCTCTACCATTTAATGAAAGAGTGTTTATGAAATCAATACAACTGAAATCTTTATTATGAAGAAGGTCATAATCTAAAATATAAAATTAAAACAAAGCAATAGCTTCTCTACTATTTAATGAAGAGTGTGTTTACAAAGTTAACACGATCAAAATCTTTGTTATGAAAAACATCAATCTATGCATATAGGAAATTAAATCAAAGCATAAGTTTATGCTCATAAGAAGGGCTCTACAGCTATGATCATAAGGAGATTGCAGTTTGAGGAAGTTAGTGGCTCCCTCCTTCAATTATGCAGGCCTGCATACGCTTAAAAATCCTGTGCTGCAATGTCTAATTTCTTCCACCATCTTTAAGCAAGTTAACCGTCAATCATATTGTCCATAATCTCAAGAGCCTTTCGTAGCTCTTGAACCAAGGGCAAACATGTATCAGAGTAACCAAGTTTGCCATTGTATGTGGCTTCAAGACTCCTTGGTACCCCAATATATCCTGCTTTAAGGGATATCACCATGTCATCCACAAATACCCAAAATAAAATACTTCCAAATGAACCCTCTGATAGAATCTTAGAATATCGGCAGAGAACTGTGAATATATTGACGTATCATAGAATATAACACCATTATAAATATAGGACACCTAATCAAGAGATCACAAGATATACACACAGCTAATCAAGAGATCACAAGATATACCCACACCTAATCAAGAGATCACAAGATATACACTTTCTCATATGATAACACCCTTCCCTTTTAAAGAAAAGGGTTATGTTCCAACACGCCTTGAACCATGTGGGACAACCTCTCCAGTTGAGGAATTCACAAGGATTTGTGCTCCCGTGTGAGTCGTAGCCCAAGGTGAACATGTCAGCAAGAATACAACCATCTTCAAGTAGTTGTTTCTTGGCTGATAAAGAAGGATACCTTCCTTATTTTCAAAGCTTAAGTCTTAAAATTGCCCCAAAATATTACCAAATGTCACATGTTTGTGAATTCATCCTAATGTGTGACATTTGGAGGAGCACTTGTTTGGGTGGTTTTTGCATCACATGATAATAAGCATCGCTTATGCTTGGTATGATTCATGCCTTTGATGGCTAATGGCTGGTATGGCTTATAAGTGACTTGTGGGCTCATGTCCCTCGTGAATTATGCCTTGTAATTAATTGAACAATCTATTTTCATATTTAAATTAACAAGGTGTCTAAAGGTCCCTGAGACTATCCATATCGTCATCATCCGAGTCTCATCCTTGAGAATGTATTCAATATTAAAAAAAAAGGAGAAAAAAAATTGGGATGATATTAGGTTGTATCATGTGCATTGCTTTTCTTTCATTGTGCTTAAGAGCAGAAGTGTACGTATTGAGAAAACATGGACATTGAGTAAAGGACACTGTTTCTTTGAATCCATATAGAAATGAGTCACCTCTTAAAAATCTATTTTTGAGATGGATTTTTGGACTTAATTTTAAAGGACATGTAATCTCTAATGCAGAGATCATGAATATGAAAAAATAAATAAATTTTAAAAATTAAAAATAATAATTCTATTAAGAAAACATTTGAACCATTAGTTTCAATTGTTTTTAGATGGACAACCTATTTGCATTCATCTTTAAGATGGATACTTATACCTCGAGGACCGCAGATGTAGAAATGCTGCATGAAACAATTTTCCTCGAGTAAAACTTGCAATATAAACAGAGTGACTCCATCCTTTAACAAATAACTAAAATCCGCAACAAACCATCAAGAAATAGATGACTTCTACCCTCACCTTCATCCCTGCTACAAAATGCAGTAACCAAAGCATTCCAAACCTCAACTTTAGGTGCTTTTCCCTCACTAACCATTTCCTCAAGGAACAAAACTGCCTCAAAAGTACTCTCGCTCAAGCAAAGGCCCAAAACCAACTTGTTATAACCATCAGCTGATAACCCATGCCCTCTATCTAACATCTTCTCAACAACCCATGTTGTCTCAGTCAAAAGCCCCTCATTGCATAACCCATCAACCATCATCTCATAACTCTCTCTATTTGGCTCACAACCCAATTGCCCAAACATTTTTTGCAAATACACAACTGCTTGTTTTGCCTCTCCTCCCTCACATAAACCAGAAATCAAAGCATTATATGTCTCAACATTTGGAACAATTCCTTTGTCTCTCATCTCCTCCAAAACAGTCTCCCCTTCTTTAGTTCTCCCTCTTTTGCATAAGGCATTTATCTTGGCATTGAAATCTTTCAATGTGGGCCTAAACCCTCTATGGCACATTTCATCAAATACTTTCTGCGCCTCTCTAAACTTACCGTCTTTGAAGAAATCCTTCAAAATTGAACTGTAACAGGAATTGCTTGGAACCCCATTCTTCACAAGCAGCTGGTTCAAAAGAACCTTAACTTCATCAGCTGATAGTTCGTGAGCTTTGGCTTCGATCTTACTGATACTATGAGCTCGTCGTTTCTTTGGAGCTCGCAACCCCTTCTTCAAAACCTTCCCAAAAATCTGAACAGCTTCCGAAAATTTACCCTCATCACAGAGAGCTTCTAAAAATCTTCTATAAACAACTACATCAGTTCCACACCCCTTTTGAGAGATGTTCTTGAACATGGAATACAACAAGTGGGTGGCCTCATGTATTCTCCCATCCATACACAACCCATTCATCAGAATTCGGCAAGTGTTACCATCAGGTCTACAACATTGTTCAGGCATCTCTTGCAAGAGATTCAGTGCGAGATCAGATCGGGTATTTTTACAGAGAGAATCAATAAGGGAATTGAAGGTTTCAGTTGTTGGGTTTACACCCAGTTGTGGAAAATTGAGGTAGAGATCGTGGGCTCTGTCTAGATGACCTTCTGATAGCAAAATCTCCAAGAGGGTGTTAAAAGACTTGGCCCAGCTGATACAGTTGAATTGGGGTATGGAGTGGAAGAGATCAACTGCATCTTGAAGCAATCCGGATTTTGCATAGGTGGCTATGATGAAGGAGAAAAAAGAGTCTCGGCATTGGCATCGATCGTTTTGAAGCTGATGTAAAAGAGCTTTGACGCGAGAGAAATGGCCCGAGTTGGCTAAGAGGGTGGCCATGGTTGCATAGACAGGGAAGTTGTGGTTGTAATTAGGGTACCTGGTTTTGGCTTGGTTGAAGATTTGTAGAGAGAGAAGAGGGTTTCTTTGGTGAGTGATGAGTGTGGAGAGGATTGAGGGGGTGAGGAACTTGGGCCATCTAACGCTTGGATACTGCTGTACTGGTGGTGGAGTTGTAAGATGAGAGATGTTTTGGCACCAAAAGGACGAGTAAAGGAATCCAAAGCCACTAAATTGAATAATATTTGTTTTGAGGACATTTGATTTGCCCAACATTCCCTGGTAGTACTTGTTTAGATCCAAGTATGAAAGAGAGAGAGAGATGCTCTTTCCGAAAAGTTGGAATGTAACTTATAGGGCAAAACTTTCCTCAAAAAACTCTCATCATTCCTTGACGAATCTCCCTTCAACCGCACATCCTCTCAAAATCCCCACTTTTTAATTTGCTCTTCCTAAGCATTCTACTTTTCTCTGATCGCACTTAATTACAGAGTCAAAGAGAAACCCTAATAACATAGTTAAACTCAAGCATTCTACTTCTCTCTAATCGTTTTATTACTTGCATGTCTGGCCTTTTGGAGTTGGAGCGCCTTTGAAATAGTTGTTTCATTTAGCCCTCTCTCTCTCTCCTCTCAAGAAGAAGTTGATGCCACCCACGCTTGGTCTCCTCTCAAGAAGAAGTTGATGCCACCCACGCTTGGCCGCTTTTTTTTTTTTTTGAGTAGAAATCGAAAGCACTTATCCCACCACCACCCGTTCTCCCATGGCTACTGATCCCCAATTCCTTAACCTCTCTGTCCCACCACCGAACCACCACAAACTGTTCGACCCAACCACTCAAAGAGACCTTCGCTCCCAAAACACCATTCTCTCGTCACTTTCCAAAACTAACCCCCGTTTAACCCTAACACGCTTCAAGACCATGGTACAAGAAGGCAAAAATATAGACGAATACACACTTTCCATTGTTCTTAAGGCAGCTGCGAGCTTAAAGCTACTCAGCTATGGAAAACAAATACAAACACTCGTAACAAAAAGTGGGTTTTCTCAGTTCATGCTTTTGGTCACAACTCTTTTAGATCTACATGTCAAATGCAGTGATTTAGCTGCTGCTTGCCAAATTTTTGAAGAGATGCCCGAGAGAGATGTGGTTTCATGGACATCACTTATAGTGGGTCATGTCCATCAAAGCAAGCACAACATGGCTCTCAAATTGTTTCAAAAAATGAACAAAGGCAATGCCCGCGGCAATAGTTATACTTATTCTGGTCTTTTATCGGCTTGCTCTGGTTTGATGGCTCTCAAACCAGGCAAACAAGTTCATGCCCAAATTATAGTATTGGGTCTGTCTGATAATCTGACATTAAGTAATGGCATCCTCGGCATGTATGGGACATGTCGGAGCATGTATGATGCATGTCGAGTTTTCAATGGCATGCCATTTAGAGGCCTAATCTCTTGGAATGCGATGATTTCAGCTTGTGTTCAGTGTGAGTGCGGAGAAGAGGCGTTGAAGCTTCTCTGCCTGATGGGTTCTCAAGGCATTAAGCCTGATAATTTCTCTTGTGCTATATGTGCTCGTGTTTGTGCAAGTATGGCTTCAATGACACATGGGTATCAGATTCACGCATTGGTGCTTAAATTAGGATTTCAGTCTGATCTGGTTATTGGAAACTCTCTGGTTGATATGTATGCCAAGTGTGGTTGTATTGAACTGGCAAAGCTTATCTTCGAAGAGATACCTGATAAAGATGAGATTCTATGGACCACCATGATCAACGCATATGGAAGACATGGGCATGTTAGAGAAGTTCTTCACATGTTCAAAGAGATGATTGGCGTGGGAATGAAACCTGATGGGATCACATACATGGCTCTATTATCAGCATGTAGTCATGGTGGACTGGTTAATCAAGGTCGGCACTATTTCAAGTCTATGTTTCTAGAGCATTCTGTGAGAGTAGAACCAGAGCACTATGCTTGTATGGTTGATCTCCTCGGTAGAAATGGCTTCCTTTCTGAAGCTTATGAATTCATGGAAGAGATGCCCATAAAACCGTGTGCTTCTATGTGGGCTTCTTTTCTTAGTGCTTGTAATTGGTATGGTGAAGCTCAACTTGGTGAAATTGCAGCCAAAAGACTTCTTGAACTGGACCTCAGGAATTACAGCGACTACACAGTTCTTGTATCATACATCAAAGCCAAGGCGGGAAAATGGAATGAGATCTTCCAAACTAGAGAGAGAACTAAGAGAAAGCAGATGAAGAAGGAGCCTGGATGTAGTTGGATTGAGATCAGGCACAGAGTTGATGTCTTCCTTTCCTCAGACAGATCACATCCACAAGCAGCTGAGATGTTGCAGGCACTATATCAATTGAGCCTGTCACTAACTGAAGCTGGGTAGATGAAGAAGGCAAAACACGCACACATGCATACACATGCACGGCACGTGCACACACTTTTGTGTACTTTTGTGTATGTGTGAGAGAGAGAGAGAGGTCTCATGTGTTGGCAGACACGCTTGACTTCATGTATTTTTCAAGAAATAAACAAGGACATCCCAGGTTCTCTTGTACCATCATATGACAGTCCTTACAGCTTCTTTGATCAACCCCCAAGTTCCAAAGAAATTCATCAGTTTTTATTTCTGTTTTATGATGGGTTTAACTAGGTTAATGACCGAATGGCCCGCTAACACAAAAAAAACTAAGGCAACATAAACACCAGTTACAAGCATTTATGAATGAGCTCAAATTTGCCATTGAATGACGAAACGTGCTCTATATTTTTTCATTGTAATCACACTAAAGCAACTTTACTTTTTTATTTTGAACTACTATACAACTATTTTACAGCATGATCCCTCAAATCAACTCCGACAACTCCCATTCAACTCACGTTGCCCATCCAAGCCATAACTCTTGCTTTTGAGCAACAAACACAACCAATGAAGTGGTAGGAGGTTACAGATACGCTCCAACAAATACACTCATGTCATCATGTTGCCTTAGAGAGTTCCTAAGAGCACCACAAGTTGAACCTTGTGATCATAACCTTCGAAGGACCTTGCAACGGTTTATATGCTCAAAGCTTCATGCACTGATATCTCAATTCATGTCCAGGATCCATAGTTAGATGGGTCTTTGAAACTCCATTGCACTAAGCAAATCACACTAAAAGGAGACATTCGGATATCACCATGAGAACCATATCAAGACTCAATCTCATCTGAACAAGACATAGCACTGCTTGCAATACCCCCAACATTCTCCTCATTGGACATGCTTTCAGTTGCCTCGCTTGAAGGACAAAATGGTTCATATTCCTCATCTGTTGTGCTTGTCTTGTTTGAGTGTCCAGTCTTCAAAAGGCCTTTGCCTCGGCGAATCAGTCGCCCACTCTGCCGGCGCTTACCTCTGGGGACATTTCGTGTGTGAGTCCCAGGTAGCTTGTGTTCATGCTTGTCATCACGAAGATTTAAAACCCTGTGCCCCTCGCATTCTTCATTATCAGATCCAATTGTAGAGGAGTAAACTTTACGCTTCTTCCTGGTCAAATTTGTCTGAAAAGAGTTCATCAGTTTGGGGGAGTTCATCAGTTTAGGGCACCCCCAGCTCTCTCTCTCTCTCTCTCTCTCTCTCTCTCACTCTTTTGTGTAGAAATGTTAGGTAAACAGGATCCTATTAGGTTACAGTAAATCCCTCACGACCTATGGATGTATAATGTTGGAGGGTGGGACCCACCAGAACATGATTTGACACATGTCTGACATCCCTATCTTCTTCCAAACTATTAATCCATGGATTGAAAGGTGCTGATCTGGGGTCTATAATCAGTTCTACCTAATCATTCCCTCTATAAATGTGTGTGTGTGTGTGTTTTAAGGGATAATTAGCTTGTTAGGATGTTCACTACATGATAACCCTATTATTGTGAATACCATTTTAGGAATAGGAGGGGCCCTGTCTTTTCATTTCAAATCAAATTATTGTTTCGAGTCATTCAACATTTTCTAGAGTCAGGGACAGAAAAAGGCTGTTATACTAGACATCGGCCCAACTGGCATCAAAGCATCAAAGAAATTTGGGTCATATGCCAACAGTATGTCAGCTCTTATCAGTTACACCGTAGCCCCTCAAAAATGACAAAACTGCCCCTATCAACGAATTAAAACACGATCCTAACCAACCTAATAATCAGAACAATGCCAACTTCTCCCTTTAAATGGGTTTGAGCATACCGTGAGGGCCGCATTGCAGATGTCTTCATATGAAATGCGTGTAGTCTTATTCAGGATTCCATCGCTTATGCCTGAAAAGGACGGACCGCTTAATCAAATATACAGGGACCTGCTGTAGAAATATCTCATCTGGGTTTACCTGGTAGGGCGTGAGCTTTGTTCCCCACAAGTGCACTGACATTATCATCAGAGAAGTCCCCAGGCACGCTACAAATAGAAGGATGACTTTGGTCATTTGCATCGATAGAGGATGAGTGGCAAGTGGATGAAGCAGTGGGTGATTCCCTCCTCTTTGTATCCTCTGTTTTAATGCCTGGGTCATGTCTTCTTTCATCAGGTGGTAACTTATCTGTCCTTTTTATTTCCTCTAATGGCTCACGAATGTTGCGAGAGCTATCTTTGCTTGTGTCTTCTTTGCCTCTTCTCCTAAATGCCTGAAACAGAAGCGTCACCTGAAGCCTATGGTAAACTTGAATACGAAGGCAAAGCTCATTTAAAGTCTGTTTATGGACAAAGCAATATAGAATATGAACGTAATTCCAACACCGGCATAGAACATAATGCATAGGGTCTAGAAACTTGATGTATTTGATGAGTACATACAAGCACTTGAAACAGCAAGACAAGCTACTATTTTATGCCAACTCAGTGTTTCAAAGATCAGAAAAGCGAGAGAAAAAAAGGTAGCAGGGGTAAGATAGTCCTTAAACATTCATATGTCTAGGTACTGTGCCGATGATGATGCAAGTTTCTGAGACATCTACATGATCTATGCAGGTGTTCCAGGTACATCTTGGTATTTCCCAATAAAACAATGAGACTAATTACCGAAGTTTGGTCCTTCATTGCATTAGAAGTGGAAGGTGCAGACGTAGAATGTCTTTTAACAGACATGCCTGAAGTAGTAGTTTGAGAAGCCAACTGTGGAATACCACCTCCATGGCGCATACGTGGCACCCGAGGAACTCTAGGCGAGCTATTCAGTTCTTGATGCAACAGTAAAGCAAGCTGCCAAAAGTTCATTTACAAACAATAAAATCAAATGCATCCTATTCAGAAAGAAAAAATAATCCAATGAATCATGTTGCTACAATTCACCTACCTTTTTCGATATGAGAAGAATCATAATCCATTGGGCCATCACTGTCAATTGAAATGGACATGGGATGCAGAAAGAGTGTGACACACTGAACAGGACATGATCCCATGGTGGCTCAGTCCCTTTTCGTTATCATTTATCATTTAAAATTTTCAATAGTTAGCGATGGTGATGAACCAATGGACTATGATTTTCCTATTAATTTATTGAAATGTATTACCATACCTAATCCCATCTCCCCACTCCTCTAAACACGCACACACACACAAGAATTGTTTTGTGTTTTTCCTGAGTAAATTACCTCTTCATCACTTAATGCTGCAATGACACCGGCAGGAGGGGGAGGATGCATCGGTGGCAAGGGGTTTGATGCCTTCGTTATTGTCTGAGAACCCGGTTGATTTGGCTTTTCGCCTTTCTGATATGAAGCCGAACTCACCTGCTTGTCACATTGTGATGTAGAATTCTGAGATGGGGATGCAACAGCAAGCTCCCCAGAGCCTGAAGATGTAGAAGCATTCTGTGTAGATGCTTTATAAGATGAAGAGCTGACCTGCTCCTTTCCATCCAGATTGCACCCAGAAGCTGAGGCATAAGCCCCAGGTTTTGTATGTGATGTCATATACTCAGCATTTTTGGCTACCTGTTTTGTAGCTGCTATTGGAGATTGCCTGTTGTCATCATCCTTGGGCACATCTGACGAGATCAATCTCGCTCGTAGCTTGGACAAATGAGGTGGTTTTGATAACGGTGCAGGCCCGTCTGATGATCTAAAAGTACCTGATGGAGAAGATTTATTGGAAACCCTTACTTTGGATGCACCCAAAGAAGATTTGGAAGTGGGACCAGAAACTAAGTTCTTTGCGACACCCCCAACTGGCTTATTGTGAGAACTAGGGGCAGGAGGACTTGACTTCAACCGCACCAACTTGGATGAACCTGCATCATGTTGTGCACGATATCTATGTTGTATTAAGCTATCATGCGGTGTAGAGGATTGCGAGTGAATCAACCCCAATACTGATTTTGCACTGTCTCTATGTTGTGAAGAGTTCTCTTGCAGTGTTGGCGACTGTGAGCGTATCAACCCCAATGGTTCTTCAGATTCTTGTCGGGGTGGGTGGGCTTCAATAGGTGTAGACAGTGCCCTATCTGGAGATTTTTGGCCTTGACCCACTGCTTGAACCTCTATTGAAACATCTTCAAGCTTCCTATCTTCAGGTAACCTGCTTGCAGAGGTCATGCTAAGGTTTTCCATTGCCAACCCAAGAGGTCCCTTAGGAGGGTTTAAATGGTCAGGCGAGAACTTAGCAGTCAAGTTTTCAGCACCATAAACGATGGTGGGTAGGTTCTGAATCACAGACCCTGCAGTCTCGCTAGGCTTCTGAAACATTGTTTTGGAGTGTTCTTCCAGCTTTATCTCACAATTGGAAGAAGGTGATGGTGGCATCTTTGTAGATTGGTCATTCTCAGCTTTACTAAGAGAACCAACAGCAACAACTCCATTAGAGTCTTGAGGCACAAGTATCATTGGCCCATGAGGGACAGTCATTACTTGACCTTCAAAAGAAGGTGTCGATGTCTGAGAATCGATTTGAACATTGGAAGAATCACTATTAGAAAAATCTTTATTTGAGCACCTGTTATGATGAATTTTGTATACAAGTGGGTCTAAACTATCAACAGCTGGCTTCATATCCTGGCAAACATGCAAAAGAATTACCTTACAAATAAGGATGTGATAACTGAAGGGCTCATCTGCTAACTACATCACGATTATAGGCCACGATAATTTCACATACTCAGAGAAATGCAGCAACATCTAGTGCCTCAAGATAAATGGCTTTCATAATTAAATGCATTTAAGAAATATGGAACAAGATATTTTTCTCTCCAAAAAAATGTGCACTCATGCTACATGGATGGTAAGTATCATTAGATTGACCCACACAAGTGAAAGAATCACACGCACATTAAGTTTTTAAAAACACGTTTGTAAGAGCCTAAATCTGCAGGTACACTCCTAAATATAACTTTGTTTATCAAAAACTTTGCCTAAATAGATCTACATGTGATCTAAGATTTGCAACAATAAAATAACCGTAGGCAATTTGATCATCAGAGAGTGGATGAATACAGAGACTGAAATGCAAACATGAGAACTTTATTCATGCGTATGGGCACACCTGAGCACCCCAAATTTTTTCCATTTTTATGATTCCAAAAGCTGAGTCCATCTCTAACCAGAAATCCTTGCATGAGCCCATCTTACTCTAGGATTGGTTTTAATTCTAAAGATATAACAAACAAACTCCATCCAATAGCTCCACCACCCCAGGTCACATATTGGCTCAGAAAAGCCCCACAAAAATCCAGAAGGATGCCTGGTCCAAATCAACTGGAGCTTACTTCCAGTCTAGCCTAGCCACATGCCCTCATATTCACCCCCCAACCCAACCACACGCCCCACCCCACCACCCCAAAAAACAAAGAGAGAAGAGAGAGAGCGAGAGAGAGAGAGAAGAACCTGGTACATTAGTGTTGATATGGCTGTAACAGCTGAAATGAGAGCACAATTCCAAGACTGCCTAGTGGGCAAGTTCTTTCCCCCAAGACACCTGTGTGCGGAATCACGGAATGGGGTAAAGCTATTTGGAAATATCCCAAATGCAATGCTGTTGACATGACAAGTTCTTATTCTCATTTCCATCACAAGACAGAGCCAGAAATGCCTTACAACAGACACGAGAAAGATTCAGAGGTGCAGCTAAAAAAATTTCTCAATGGAATCCAAGCTCAGGAGCTGTCAAAAAATATCGCCTCTGGATTCAGGTTAAAGGTTTTCCCCAGCAGCCTGACACACAAAATTGTTGGAGGAGATCGAAGACATGGGTAACAGTTTCATCAGAAGTAACTGGAATGCTCTTGGAACTTTCCCCTTGGGAACTATCCATATCCTTGTTGGAAATTGTCTCCAAACTTGCTGCTGATATACATCATGGTGTGGAGAGCCTATTTCCTGGCAAGGATCATTATTGAAGAAAAGGGCTCCCTGGATATGGAGGCCACAGGAGCTAGAAGTATTGCCATGTTAGGGAGCTTGATATGGAGCATACAGATGTGGATAAAGGTCAGGATTACACTAACAAAGGCAAAGTTAGTCTGGAGGGGTGAAAGGCTTAGTCAGCAGGAAACATAATCGAGGGAGCACACAGTCGGCCGGGAAAGCCAAAAAGGAATCATCCCCACAATCAATTTGTTGATGCTACTAAGTGATAGACCCTAGTCAAGCATGACAAACCTCTCACCATAAGCCACACTCATATTGAGTATGATGTTTGGAACCAAATATCTCGCCCTAATATCAAAACTACCCATCTCTATCCCCCACAATCAAGTAATGCACACAGGGACAAAGATCCCATCAACTGTCAAGTAAAGAGATCGATGGTTCCCACCATAAAACATCTGGCAATCTTGTTTCGAAAACTAGGGATCCTACCTCTAAACCTCAACAGACCCAGGTTTGGCAGTGAACTCATCCCGAACACTAATCCAAGACAATCCTAATCCAACGGTCCATCATGCCATATTCGATGCCACACAATCAGCTGTTAAAAGGTCTCCTCCATCCATTTTCCAGGTGGAGCCAGGTCACATAATTCATATTTCAAATCAGTGTAGAAGTTCCCCACACCGCACAACTCGATGAACGGCTTAGATGTCAGCCCCTAGTGTAGCCCATTCCAGACCATGTCTTTTCAAGGTGGGGATATGTCCAAGTCTACAAGGGCCTCTAATATTTGTCCAACTCCCACCATGAACTCATCCTCCGCCATGCACATGCCGCATAAGTCCCACTGTCTGAATCAATAACCTCATTTAACCCCAAGGAGTTGCACTATTCCAGAAGCTGCCCTTAACTGTTGCTGAAGCCCCAATTTTCAACCTCCATCCCCAACATAGTCAACGGCCGAGATGCTCTAAAGAACCTTGTAAGTGGACAATCAAAAGTGGATCTACCTGATGATCCAGGGTTACCATGATATGCAGAGATCCATCACACACTGTTTTGGATGGTCTCCACAAATTTACCCCATCAATGGTCATCCCACAAGATCTCAGCAAACTACACTCCATATCTACTCATCCTTGTCATCAAAGTGATGGCTTCACCCTAAGATGATCAAATCAGGTAGTTGCCCATCTCAACCACCCAAAGCTGAAACACCAGGACTGCCTCTCAATATCTTCCCTCCCTCTCTCCTCTCTCGATATTGTTCCTCTCTCCTCCTCTCTCCCCCTCTCAACATTGATGTCTCTTCTCTCCTCTGCAAATCTCTCTCTCTCTCTCTCTCTCTCTCTCCAACCTCATAACTCTTCTCTTTCCTCTTTAAGTATGACTATTGGGTGTAAAGGTATGATCCCCACTGTTGTGTTAGAGTCTCCACTCCTTCAAGAGCTAGTGATCTTCTATAAGAAAGCCATGTTCCTGTCTCCTACCTTGATCCATTTGACCCTAGAGCTCTGAACCAGTAAATTTCTTCTTGATTATAGACAGTTAGAAAGTTTGCTCTCGCAGATTCTCTTTCTTAGCATACTCCAGAGTTTGAAATTGTATTTATGGGATAGGATGAGACCTCTATAGTTGCCTGGCAAGGTTTTTTTTTTTCCCGTTGTTTGAGGAGGCTTTCAGGAGTTGAAGTTTTTTGGTCAACCGGAACCCACCTACCCACGGAGAATATAGAAAGACCACCATTATTGAAATTTCTGTGAGAATTTGGCTTCCTCCAACCAATATAACTCAAATCTAAAAGGTTTATTGGGTATGAGTAAGCAATTGGTGTCTAACATAATAGGTTTAGGGTCCGAGGTGGGTTTTGGGAGGGTGCAAGAGTGTGTACCCATGAATTTGGCCTCCAAGCAGGGGACTCAAGTAAGCATCTATCCCATAGTTATTGGAAAAGGCTATAGGAACCCGAATCGCTTTAGGAATCGAAATCGCGGAATCGCAACTGGCTAGAAGATTCTTGTTTTCGTAATCAACATCCATACAATAGGAAACGCAGGGAGTAAGATTCCTATTTTTTGGGAATCAAGAAGTGACCAAAATGGAATTGAGATTCCGCCACATATGGAATCAAGATTCTAACGTCTTTAGAATTAAGATTCCGACCTCCTTGGAATCCACCCCCAAGGAATCGAGATTTGAAATCTTAGGAATCGAGTTTCCAACATATGTGGAACCGATATTCACACAAGTTTGGAATCGAGATTCCAACATATCTGGAATCCAGTTTCTGACGTATGTGGAATTGAGATTCATGCCAGTTTCAAAATTTCCAAGCTATTCCTAAAAGTGGATGCAAGTTCTCATATTCGTTGAACACAATTGTGGATACCTATCTATTGCAAAATTTGGTAAGGTGGACCCTAGAGTCCAAAGACATTGGAACAATATCCAAACAATGTCGAATCACAATTCCAATGGTAGAACAATGATCTCCAAAACCACAATTTAAGGGTTTGAATTCCTCTTCTCCTGATCCAACTCGGTGGAGGCCCCTCTTCTTCATTCTTCTGGATGTTCAAAAAGACAAGTAGTGTCGTCAGCAACTTCCAGTTGCATGCCTTCTCTCTCCATCGCAGCTCTAAAAGTTGTGTTAGTCTTAGGGTCGGGTAGCCGGTTCAGGTAGAAGGTAGGGCATCTATAGTTGTTGGGTCGGTCTTCCTTTACCACTTTTTCATTAAGGAACCTTGACAACTCCCTCCAATGTTGCCGGTATATTTGTAGCAATTCATCACAGAAACATGGAATCGTGATTCCAAACTGGAATCACTAGGATGCGAGCCTCCCTCCCCCCTTAACACAATGCATTTTGAGCCCTTGCGTAAAAAGGCATCTCCTGCCCTTAGCATGTAATCAACATCTTCAATAGACATGTTGGCCAAGCAGCCCGAACCTAAAAGACTAGGACTTGGCCACAAGACGTGGCCCAAGGATCAGGCTACCACGGCTCAAGGGCCAAGCCAAGTCAAGCCTATGCGAGGGCCACGACAGGGCCACCCCGGCCCTTTATTCCTACCTCTTCTTCCATTATACTTTTTCCTTGGATTGTATTTGGCTTTGCCTGCCGAGCCTTGACCCAGCCTTGACAGGGCCAAGACCTCTGTGGCCTAGTCCATTGCCAACCCTAATCTCTGGCCCGAGCTAGCCTTGGGACTAGGGCCAAGGCGGGCCCAACCTGCTACCACCCCTAATCTTCAATGACATTTGGAAGAGGTCGAGTAAGCTCCAATCGACAATATTGCACTCATGGAGAAAGTCCCTCCAATGACGCAGACATACTAGAATGGAAGGAAGCTCAAAACCATCATTAGTAGTTAGTTGGTTCTAGTAATGAGGACATATTTGTAGTTTAACATAAATAGGATCAATTATGCCAATGACAATATTGAACTTACCAATTTTGACAAAAGCAATGAAAGAGTTACCATTGAAAAATTGAAGGAATTTCACAAAAATCTGGGCTTTACATACCAAAATCCAGACTCCCGAATATCCATAAATTATAAATCAATTTATTTCCATGGTTCAAGGCATAAACTAAGTTTGTTTTGGCATTAAAAACATGGAATCATCTGAAATTCCTATAGTTAAACCAAATGGTAAGAACCCTGAGGAGTTATACCATTAGATTATCCAAGGTGCACCATATTCAGTGAAGGATCCACATTATTTCTCACATCTTGGCCTCTATAAATTGAGGCACTTCAGCAAGGTCTCCAAGCACTTGTCCCAACTATTTGCAGTCAATCACAGCTAATCATCATCATTATCCGAGTCTTATCCCAACTATTTGCAGTCAGTTACACGAATCATATTCTACCATAGAGTGGGTGAATTCTTCTCCCTAAATTACTTTTGGATCCCGTTAGTACTTCATCACTTGCAGCTGTAACACCTCACTCTCTCCATGCATGGCATCTCCGAGATAGGTGTCTAGGTCATCGTGGTTGAGATAGACTCATAAAGTTGTTTCATATTGGAACTATAATCTCCTTTAAATGCCCCAAAACAAAATGTTGTCAGATTCAAGAAGAAGTAGAAACCTTCAAGAAATTTAGGGTTTTGGGTGACTGTATGACTGTACAAACGCATGTACTGTGTGCAGCAGTAATCCCTACATTAACAGCTACAGAGACTGCTACAGAAACTTCGAAAATGACTTCTATATTAACAGTTCAGACTGCTACGGTAAATGATACTCTGGCTCGTAATGCATAATCAATATTCTTGCTTCTTCGATCTAGAGATTTAAATGGTGAACAAAAACCGATCTTTATTTTATAGTAAGATGGATCGCCAGCAGTGTATCAATTCCAAAGATGCATATTTGACTGTATTTGCTAGAGATTCATTGATAAAACATAATGAAATATGGTTTTGGCTTCAAGCCTAGCATTGTTATCAGTTGAGTTATTTAGCAAGAAACAAACTCAGAGATCAACACTTTCAATGGGTTTTCCTAGGATATGGCACTACCCAAAGAGTCACTATGATCCAAAATCTGATAAATTGTATATTCCAAGGCAGTTTCTCTCTTTGAAGGAATCTTTTCCTTGAAGTATTCAAAGGTTTCCAACTCAGTCATTCATTTCAGTTTCCTGAACCTCCAACCCCTCATGTCTCTAGTTCTTGTATTAAACTCTATGATTGGGACTAGTGAGTGGCGACATCGACAAAAGGTTTCTGTTCCTTCTAAGTTCTAACTATCTCGTTCTCAAGTCTAGTAGAATACGTGCTTTATGATTTTATGTCCACAACTCTTTGTTATCATGCAACAGGTACTACTTATATTATTTTTATCTTTTTTGGTGCTGCTACTTATATTATATTTTTTTTGAAATGTCTACTTATATTATATGTTTTTTGAAATGTCTACTTATATTATATTTTTAACATAGTAATTATAAAGAAGTCGTGAAACTCAACTATCGGAAGCATGCTATGGATGTCTGAGAAGAATGCCATTGTCTCTAAGTATAATTACAATCGTAACTTTACCAGATGAAAGCATCAGAGATATAAAGCTTGGCTTGTAGCTAAAAGCCACACAAAGGTACAGTAAAATAATTGCTCTCATTATCAAACTTTACTATAACTCGTGTTGTTTCATAAGATGCAATATCGGCCCCCACAACAAACACTCTTTTAAGTGGGCCCAGCATATAAAATCATGCATCTGTGAATTAAATGCCACCCAAATATGCCCAATGCTAATGACAGTGTTCTCACAAGTGAGGACACACAATTTTTCATATTGGACATTTAAAGCAGCAGTTTCAGCTGACAGACATGGGACATTCACTGTATTTTCTTGGTTTGAGATTACTCGCTATGCTCGAAGGATCACGCAATATTCTGGTTATCTTCTCCCTTGATCCCATCTTGCTGACTCCAAGTTGTTAGAGGCCCCAACAAAAATTAACATTCAGCTATCTACACTAGATGGAAACCCATTATCTGATCCAATTCCATACCAGGAGTTGGTTCGTGGAGTGCTATCTCACTATTACCGGGCCAAATATCAGTTATGCAGTCCAATCTTTTAGCTAGTTTGTTAAATCTCCTCGCCTAGCTCTATGGTTGTTGTTCATCACATCATTCAATATATCTAATGCACACCTGGTCATGTCAACTTAATCTAATCATCCTCTTTATCTTTAGCTAGTTGCATTTGCTGAATCGGACTGCCGGTTGTCTGAAAGCTCACATATCAACTACAGGTGTTATATTTTTCTTGGTGATTCACTGGTTTCATGTACTTGCATCAATCAACTAGAGGAACTGGTTTCAGAAGTGGCTCAGATTGCAGGTCAACCAGGACAAATAATTCTTCTTAAAGCATCCTTTTAGCCCAACCAACATCTTCCGAACTCACAATTGAGCATGTTGCACACATACAACTAATATTCATGATTACATTAATTGAATAATAATGATACGAGGAAAACTTGGAAGCAAAAAGAACAAAAATCCACATTCACAAAATGTATCAGTACATTTAAATTTTATCTTTTAAAATAGTTCTTCATATATTTTTACTTGTCATAAATTCTATAAAATTTGTTCATTGTCATAAATTTTTTTCACTGGTCACTCGAATTGGTGGACCACAACTCAAGCCAAAGGCCTGATCTGCCAAAGAGATTTCATAAGATCACAAATCATATTGTCGACCTACTTTCTAGAATTTATTTATTTCAAACTAGCCCTTTATAATGCATAACTCAATCTTCTTTAAGTACCTTATTGAGTAAATATCACAAGGAAATGCATGTGTCTACTATAAGGAGTACAATTCCAAGAAACTCAACTGTTACATTATATGTGTGTAGAGAGAAAAGTGCTGGTCTTTTGTCCAATCACAAATCAGTTACATTAATGGTCTACATTCGACTGTCATGCCAAAGTTTGCTGCTTCTCCTTTTATCTAAATGTGGTCACCAAAACCGTGTAGGCAATCACATAGCAATTGCTCGGATTGTTTTTCTTGTCTTTAACTTACTTTAATTCTCCCCCAAAAAAAAAGAAACAAAGAGACTCACGATCACTTTCAATGTAACCATCCTATTTCCTTGCAAAAGTTGTTACTCTTTATTTTCTCTGACAAGTTTTGTCAAAGCATTCAAGAACGTAAAATTTACAAGAGCTGTCAAAGCACAAAACACTATCTGTCCACTTAAAGAATACAGAAAGAGTAAAACAATTTTAAAAAAAATAGAAAGAGCAAATTCCAAAAGCTAAAATGAAGTAAACATTTCAGAAAAGAAAAAAAAAAACTGCATTTACACAAAAGCATACCTCTTCTTTCATTGAACCTACTGTAGAATCATGTTTGTATAATTGCACTGCGATGGGAGCATTATTCGTAGGGGCAGCCTCCAAATTTAAAGGCGGTTCTGATGCATGGCTCTGGTCATCCATTTCATTAGGGAAGCCTGCAGGAACTGACTTAATAACTAAAATGTGTTTAGGCTTATTGACAGTCTCTTGCGGCACACGATTGCCGTGAACACCATCTTTATCAGGCTCCAATACATCCATTTCTTGCTTTATTTCACTCCTTGAGTCTTGGAGCTCCAATTTTGCAACCTCGAAATCTCCAGTACATAACTCCTGTTTCTGTGAGCTATGAATAGGGGTAGAACCTGAGGCTAAGAATATTTGGAAAAAACTTAATTAAAGAAAGAAAAACATAAGGTAAAGATTTTATTTATTTTTAATGGAAGTGTTAACAGTGGGAAGGGAGTCTAGGACGTTACGTTGACATTATTTTAAGAAGAAAAAAAAAGGTAAAGAAAAAATTATCAAATATCTACGTTTTCATGAAGTTTAGCAATTGACATACAAAAATAATCAAGAAGCCAGATAGCATGAAATATCCACGGAACTGCTCTGTCACTCCAATAAAGCATATTCAAACATGAAAACTCAAGAAAAACACGGTATTGCTCCAATAGAGCATAACTATGCACAGGCCTTATGTTTTTAGTATAACTATGCACAGGCCTTATTGAGAAGTACAATTAACTTCAAAAGATATGTTTGACCTATATATCGGAACTTTGATATATTGTGGCTCCACCATAACGCCATCAAATTTCCAGCCAACAACCACACCATTAAATGGTGAGTTAACTCGAAAAGAGGCCAAGAGCAAAGGAAACCTAATGGCTGTACACTCTTTCAGGAAACAAGAGGTAGAATTAGGGTGAAGGGCAGACGAAGGAAAAGCAGAAAGAGGGAAGGGAAGAGAGAAATAAAAAGAGAAACAAGAGGGAGAGTTTTGGTAGAGGGGATGGAGCGATAAGAAAAAGAAGGAAAGAAAGGGATGGAGAGAAAGCACAGTTATCAAGCACATCCAACATTTCCTCTCTCAAAAAAAAAATTTTTGTTCTCACCTTTTTCCTATATTCCTTTTTCTTTTTTTCTTTATACTTTTCCAAAAGAGTGAGAGGGACAGAGAGCGAAGAAAAGAGGAAGTGAGGGTGTGGGGAAGGTGTGGAGGGGAGAAAAGAGGTGGGAAAATGGGTGAAGGGGAGAAAAGAGGTGGGAAATGGATGAAGGGGAGGAAGGGGTAAAGGGAGGGAAAGGGGAGAAAAGAGAAAGAAAACGCTTGTGGGGCGCAGAAGAAGGAGAAGAGCCAAGGGGGTTAGGGAGACAGAGGAGAAGAGGAAGGGAGAGAGAGGAGAGGGGTACTGGAGAGTGGGGTAAATGTAAGTCCTTGTTGAAACACCAGTAAACTTACGAGGATAATTAACTTCAGTTGTAGCCATGATTACTTGAAAACAAAGAAGAACATTCTATCTCTGCCAGTGTTTGAAGTCCCTAATGTATCATTAGCACACATCAAGAACCTTTTTAGCTAATGAGAAAAAGGTTACATGTAGGTATTATGTAATCTTCAGAGAAGAAATAACTACAGAAATTTGATGTCATAAAACTGGGTTGTTATTGCAATAAGGAGCTTCCAATGCCAAATTACAAAGGAATACAATGGACACAATACAAGGACCAACTTACATAAACAGAAGATTAACCCAATCAATACCCACACCAGGAAGCAATTCTATGTCTATCTCTATGTACATTGCGAGCAGACATCTCAGGACTCTACTAACTTGTTTGAACGTTGTTGCAGAAAAGCGGATATCCCACTAGGTTAACATAAGAAATCTACTGTAGCCCTAATCCTACACAGAAGACCCCTATCATCTGCTTCATCACTTCATATTGATCGCACCAATGCATATTCTGTTGCACTAAACCCAAAACTAGTTATGACCAATCACAAGAGCCACACTCAGGTTCCAAAATGGAGTTCATCCCAAATTAAATCGTAAACATGCACATTGTAAGAAACCTCCAAACTTCCCTAACACTGAAAAGCTTCACTACATGTTATTATGGACTTTCATTCCATCAGTAGGCCTCCGACCGGCCAACCATTCGCACATTGGGCCTCCACTCTCACCCCTATAGCCTCGTACATAATATGCAACCAAACAAGAAGATTGATATAATGCTACAACCCATCCACAGTTCACAAGGTTTGCCAAAAGACTGCATCTACAGAGAAAATTCTGTTGCTCCGAAAAGGAGCCCAAATACCAGAAAAAATAAAGTTCATGTGAAACTTAAAAAGGATTAATAATAACAACAACAACAATAATAATAATAAGAACAACAACAATATAATAACTAATAATAACAACAACAATATAATAATAATAACTAATAATAATAACCTTCTCAACCATTCTCTCACACACCTAAAACCCTCTCAACCATTCTGTCTCTAACTCTCTCACACCCGTAACCCTCCCTCCCTCCCTCACACCCGAAACCTTACCCAGTTAGGGTTTTCAGACATTGCTTTGACAGGCTATTTTCAGACATCAGCTCAAAGAACACAGCCAACAAGCTATAAGTATTTTCTTTTGCTGGTTATCTGTTAGACAGTTTTTGTGCTGACTTACCGGCCATTTTAGGTTATTTTCTTGCAATAGTTTTTTTTCCATGGTTCATGACTACATATACTCTGCTCTTCTTTTTTCTTACCTTTATTTCTTGCTGGTTAACTAATACATGTACTGGTTCTAATTCCTAATTGCGTCCACTGTATTACACATTTATTTATATTTTTCTTTTTCTAATTCTATTGGTTTATTAAATTTGTTTTGCAGAGACTGTTGTTGTTTGGTTTAGGGTTCTTGCAGCAATGAACACTTCCATATATGAGGAGGAAGAAGATAAACTGCAAAATTGAGGCATTTAGGCAGCTGGATTTTTTTATTCTTTTTGTCTTGCAGTGACTGTCATTGCTTGAGGTAGATTTACTTTACTTGTTTGCCCATGAAGAAATAAATCAATCAATCTCCCTCCCTCTCACGCTTCCTCCATTCCTCCCTCCCTCAAACTTGCTTGATTTGTTTTTAATATAAAAAATTGAATATATTCCCTCATTTCTTTGTATCCATGGATTCATGGGCAATGATTTCATCTGATATGTTTGATTTGATAAGCTTTTACAATAAAAATAATGTGTATATGTAATCTTTGGAACTAGTCATTTGATATTACCATAGTGAAATGCTTTCCATTGATCTAAGTTGTTACCATGGCATTTTCCTGATAATTGGTCATGTTCTAGGCTGCAATAATCTAGTTTCAGAAAACAATCCAGTTCTAAGAAACCTAAAATTTCCTCTAGAAAGAAGAGAAAAACGTGAAAAGGAAGAATATAATCTGTTGGTGCTCTTTTGTATTCTTTGAAACTTATGACTATATATATGATTTATAGAATAGAGATTGCATCTGTCTAAGAAACCATATCAAAAATCTACGACATGATAATAGATTGAAACTGTCTATTAAACCATATCAAAAATCTACAACATGATCATAGTATGTGCTTATTATATTTGCATTCTACTTGTTATTTATTTTTTTCTGGAATGTAATAAATGAGAAATTCAAAGAAATTCATATTAAATACATCAAAATAGATCTTAAAAAAAAGGGACAATAAGATCACATGAGAATAATTTGATTAAAAAATAAGAAAATTACCTCAACAAGATTGAGGACAACAGTAAGTAAAAATATAAAACTGAATAGAAAGAAATTCTAAAAAATGTATCTTCCAGACATGCCAGACAGTGGAAATGTATATTCCAGGTTGCATCCAGATGCTACCCAATCAACATTCACTCATCTAGCAGGTAATGCATCATCTAAGAGATACATCACTCAGGTAACGAATCTTCTCCAAGAGATGCATTTTCAGTACCCACTGCCCTTAAGAGAACTCGAATTACATTTCCAAACAATGATTATTAACAGAACTCATCACCAACAACAACTTCTCCATCGGTACCACCCACAAAGACGAAAGGGCCCCAACTAAACTGACCTTCCTACAAGTCCCACACCTTCATCAAGTAGACCCTCTGAGGACTTGCAACACAATGGATGCCATAGCTAGAGCTTTGCTTTTAGGCCTCGAGTCAAGGCCATTTGCACATTCGACCATTTTTCTGGGTGCTTAATGCCATCAACTGGGTAAGGCAGGATGTCATTACTGAATGCCCAATGGGGACAAGTAAACTTCATAGAGGTGGATATTGACATTTATAAGAATATTCTGGTACTTCATCCATTTTTATACTGATAGAGCAACAGAGAAAGTGAATTTTGGGTGGAGGGAAGTAATGTTGCAGATTAAGATGTCACCAGAATATCTTTCATCATTTGCTCAGAACTACAAAATATTATCTTTATAATGGACCATTATTCAGCTTAATGAGTTCATTGCATGTGGGAAAAAAAAAGCGCCCTCTCAAAACTTTAGAGAAGCCATGCTATGGGCTCATCTTACTGCCAAATCTTTCAATCAATAAATCTCGCATATTCTCATTAGAATCTCCCATGCATAGGAAAGGCCAATATATAAGATCGCAGATAATCTGCCATGTAACCTGTCACTGAAGCGAGAGATTCTAACCATCACATGAGAATCCCAATTCCAATAATGAAACTGCGAAAAGAGTCAATGTTAATGATTTAAAACTATATGTCATCTTGAAACTCGGCCAGGTCTGGAGCTGAATCATACTGAATCGACTCTGTCAACTTAAATTAGTGAGACTCAAGTGAGTCTTGTGACAAGCCATGAGATGAGAAGAATGAAGTGATTCCCAAGTCAACACAACAAGTTTGAAGACACTCATTGACATGTTGTCTCTACAACAGCTCAAAACACCACAAGATGAGCTTCATGTTTTCTAGTTGGTTAGAATCAGCATCAGTGAAAAGAATGGTGTCAGCCAAAACCGAAGGAAGGTTACCAAACATGACACTGACTATCATTAAGCAACTAAACAAGCCCAAGCTGCTAGGAGCCTTATTCTACCGGAAGTAAATAGAAATGAACAAAGCAGAGTCTCCAATAACCTTCTTCAGTTCACGAAAGAATCCTGTTTGAAGTGCAATTATTAAGGATAGGATGGGAAATAGAGTATTTCTCTTCTCCTACTTAGGGCTAACATAAGGCTTGCGTCAATCCAAAAAACCCCACAATTTTTTCATTCTAAGCCCCCCAGCTCAAAGTTCTTGTTTTTCTTCTCACCTTTCACATTTAAAAATATAATTATACCCAGTCTCACCACACATACGCAGGCATGCATGCATGCATGCACACATATGTATACATACCAATGCCCGATCTCAAAGCGGTGTTCTAACACTCATAAAGCGTGACATTCAGGCTTATGCATTAAACCAGAAGTCTCGTTTTCTAATCAAGCTACTTCAGTTATTCTAAATTAATTTGCATTTATAGTCCACATTTACATTCAGATATTTGGATCGCACTACATCCAAAAATTTATTGTCAAGTGATTCAAGGTCAAAGGTAATTGCTGGTGCCAGTATGATAGCAGAAAGTCGCTTTGCAAAACCGAGGATTACATTTTTTTTTATAAACACAGATATATGATTACTTTTTTGATAAACAAGGGTTATGATCATCGAACCAAGTGGTTTATTTTTCATCAATAATCACTGAACCTAGTGTTTTGTGGGGTTATAAAATTGTTCTGAATTTATTCTCTTCGTAAAAATTCAAAAAATCACTTTGCATTCTTGAACTATAACTTGTGTGAGATTGCCAATCAACAAAATTCACCATAAAGATCTATGGAGACAAAAAAATGTATAGATATACAGAGCAAACACCACAGGAAATGATAATCATCCCTGATAATAAAAATTTGTACTTGCGCATGCAACCGCATTACTTGAGATCAGATAACTAAACTTCAAACTATACAAGAATTATATGGGACAAATATTAAATAACAAAAATTAAAAGCGACAACTAAAGGAAAAACATGAAATAAGCTCAAAATGTGCTTGGAGAGATCGACAAACAGCCAACAAGCTTGTGCCACCTAGTTCAGTACCCTGGGATGGGGATGTTTACGGTGAAAAAAACTATACACAATTCAAACAAATAACCCAATCTGTAATTTCAAAAGAAAAAAAAGATACCTCTTAATGGAGTGCCTCTTTCCAGCAAGCAAGCGCTCTTGTTCTCCCGTTCTCCATCCAACCCTTTCCCCTTCTTCTTGCCTCCGCCATCCTTAAAGCCTCCAAACTCATCCCTTCGCCGCTTTCCCAATGAATGCCCACGTTTGCTCCTATCACCCTTCACAAAAATTTTTAAATCTCTACTTACATCCACCCCCTCCACTTCCTTTGGAGAAGAAGCCTTCTCTCTACCTGAATTCTCAGATGCCAACCCCTCTTTTGAGAGTGAAAACAACACATCTGCCCCTCTATCGACTGGATTCTCATTATCCTCCTCCACGTTTAGGGTTTCAGTTTTTTTCACAACCAATTGGGACCCCAATTGTAACCCTAACTGAGACCCAAATGCTGGTAAAGTATCAGGCTCACGCCCATCTTCCCAACAAGTAAACTCCTTATACTGAAAATTAAACTTTTTGGGTACATAGCCGGTACACTTCCAAAGCTCCGAAGTAAACACCGAAGAGAGGCCTCGTAATAGCTCAGGGTCACCTCCAGGTACCCCTTGTACATGGACCTTTTGCTCAAGTGGGGTCTCAACCCATAGGCGAGAGGGAGGGGAACGATTATAATTTGGCTCGATCCCCATTGTCTTTGTTGGGAGCTCAACGAGAAGCTGAGCAACCTCAGTCTCCTCTGTTTCCTTCCGATTTTTCTGGCCCTTGCATTTGTCACAGGTGAATGAAGTCTCACCCTTTACAAAGCGGGAGCATCGAGTGTGGACCCATACACCACACTCATCACAGTCCACCATCTCATCTCCATCATCAAAGTTTACGCCACATACACAATCAACAGTCCATGACCCATCACCCCAGTCCTCCTGCTCTGCACTAACCAGCCTATGGGATCGACTCTTCATGGCTTTTGCCTCAAAGTTCAAAATTCTAGTGCCAGATCATGAAAGAAAACCCTTGAACATAATGTACGGTCAAGGATTATGAGAGAGAAAGTGACTGGATATCTCATGAAAACGAGGCTTTTGAGCAGGATCTTAGGGTGATATGTAGGTGTTCCTAGTATTGAAGTGAATTGAGAAAAAAGCAAAAGGTCATAGAACCCTTTGAAAGATCAGGTGCTAGAAATTGAAATGAGTTACGATAGAGGTAAAAACTTGTGGAACCCGAATCCCAGAGGAGACCATGTGCCTGTTATTAATAAGGGGGAAGAAACAAACAGGTCATGCAAACTAAGACCTGGAAAAGAGCAGTAGCCCGCTACCTAAATATCATGATAATGAAGCAAAAGGGGATGGCAATCAAACCCCGAAAAATAGAAGGTGCCTGGAATTGAAATGACTCGATAGAGCAAAAGAACATGCCCACCGAACCCCAGAAAAAAGCAGGTGCCTGCTATAGTAATGCGTCCAATAAAAAACAAAAAAAGCAAGAGATAATAGAAACCAAACCCTAGGAAAAAGCAGGAGCCTACTATTGAAATGAACTAATACAGAAGTTAAAGCTCATGAAAACCAAACCCTAGAAAAAAGCAGGTACCTGCAATGAAATTGGCTAAGAAAGAAGCACAAAGTCATGGAAATCAAACCCTAGAAATAAAGTAGGTGCCCTGCTACTGAAGCGAGTTAAGAGGGAAGCAGAAACACTTACAGTGTATCAACAGGAGAACAAAAAGGCGATCATTTTATAGTCCAAATATTATGAAAAAACTGGCCATAAAAGCCAAGCCCTAGAAGAAAACACTGCACAAGAAGCTCGAGTAAATTAGACTCTAACCTGATTGAGAAGCTTTCAGCGAACATGCAGACGCCATTGAAATTGGTTCAGCGCCACCGGAAGACGGAGAGTGAAGAGAGAGAAACACAGAGATGAAAGCGCGAGGCAATTAGCGTCGTTTTAATCGCTCTCTCTCGACCTCCATTTTATCCACTCACTCGGTTATTTTCTCTCTCCTGTCTCATCTCGCTCCTAGCCCACTCCGAACCTGGGAACATGATTAAGGGTGGTTTTTCTCCGGTTTGGATCCAGTTAGACACTCGGCTCGGGAGGAGCGACGACGTCGTCCGGAACTTGCACGTGAATGCCGATTTGAATTTCGGACGAAATTTCGGTTTTGACGTTTCGGTTGATTTCTAATAAATTTTGTAGACATCTCGGTTAGAGTCTAATTTTCTGCTGTATCTCGGCTACAATCTTCGTTGAAATCTAATTTTCTGCTGCATCTCGGTTGTTATTTGTCGTATCAAGTTGAACGGGTGTTCGCAAAATCTAATCGGAAAGGTCAATCGGATGAGGGGCCTGGAGCGGTTAGAATCGGAACCTGACTAACCGAGTGATTAATCAAACTAACTGCTTTGACAAAAAAAATTTACATATATATAGACCAAAAATTCCCAAAAAATAAGAAAATAAAAAATATAAATTTAGTGTATATTATTTTATTAATTACATTTATCTTAAGAAAAAAAACTTGTAGATGACCAAAGTGTATCAATAACCACTTTTCTCGAGCCCGCTATCAAATCCAAAACTTAAAATTAGAGGGTTTCAGATCTTTTTGATCGAAAATATAACAATAAGTTAAGGAAACAATAGGACAATGAATATTTATTCTACAACAATGCAAACTAAAGTAGCATCCTTTGAGGCCATAATCTAGATAGGATGATGCTATTGTTCTACATTTCCATATAAGAACAATAGAACAAATAATTTTATCAAAAAATAATTTTATTAAACAAAATAGAAAAACCCTTCCATATTTATTAAAAATATAATTTTATTAAAAAATAATTTTATCCAAATAATAATTTTAATAACCACATTAATTAACATATCACATATACAAATAATGCATTTTGAGTGTGTTATTTCAAATTTAAAAAATACCTTTTTGCATAATTTTTTTTTTCGCAAAATAAAGTGGTAAATAAATACTTGAGCAACTCAAAGTTCATATTAAAAAAAATACTAACTGACAAGTCGCATGAAATTCATACATGTGATCTCAACTGTAAAAATTAGTCACCAAATCAAGTACAAAATCGAGCGATTGTTGGATGTTTTTTAGCACAATTCAAAAAAACTGAGTCAATGCCCTAATCTTTCAAAATTGAGCACCATATCTCGGTTTTTCAATGAAATTAGGACTTGAATATTTTGATTAACTCCATTATTTACAAAAGCCATAGATTTTGATTCATAAAAAACAAAAAACAAATCAATAATCTGGAGTATGGCGGATTTTTTCAACTTTGTTCAAAAAAACTGAGTCGCTACCCTAATCACTCCAAATCGAGCCCCATATCTCATATTTTCAATGAAATTAAGAGTAAAATCTACTTACTAACTCTATTATCTGCAAAAACCACGCATTTTGATTGATAAAATTAAAAAAACAAAGCCAAATCTGCAGTATGGCGGATTTTTTGAAATCAATTTTGAAAAACTGAGTAGAAGCCCTAATAGCCAAATCGAGGTCCAATTCTCTGATTTTAAATGAAATTGGCAATAGAATATACTTATGGACTCTATTATCAACAAAAGCTATATGTTTTTGTTGATAAAAATCCAAAAACGAGGCCACAACATGCACCATGGCGGATTTATTTGAAAACACGAAGAACGCGAAAATAACGGCAAAAAAACATCAAATTTTGGTGTGTTTCCGATTGAATTCCTTCATTTTATAGTATTATATCAATAATTTCAATCTATAATTGACTAAAAAATAAGGAAAAAGGCTAAAAAAATAAAAAAAAAGTCTAATAAAAAAGGAATCCAATAAAAACTCAAGGTTTATACGTATTATAAAAGTCACTGATATAAATAACTGCATACCGTTAAATAACATGTGTTATTTTAAATGTTTTAACATTATTTGAGCATTTTTGAAGAAACCGGTCCAGTTAGGTAAAAGCGGCCTAGTTAGCTTGAAAAACAACCGGTTCGTGTATATTCTGACCGGTTTTATACCAAAATTTTTTTGGGGTGTTACATATAGCTGGTTAGGTGCCTCGATCTCGCCCCCAGGTCAAGATGACATGGTGGCATGGTTCCGAGTTCAAGATGCACCTAGGACCTGAGATCGCTCCCTCAGGAACTACATAAAGGAGATGTGGGCAGGAGTACCAACCAGTGAGAGAGGAATTAGGGTCATGAGGCGGGACTTACCTCATGTGGGTCTGTGACACGCTCGGGCTAGCTCACGTGGGCGCCCTCATAGATCACATCAAAATGCCCCCTAGCTTGTGGCCGGTTTGGAATTGCCTCCCTTGACCTGTTTCTCCTTTCCTGCAAACACACACATATAAAAAATATAGAGATGTGGGTCATAGGACCCCACCTTGCTATAAAGAGATAAAAGAAGTGAAAATGAGAGAAGAAGTTCGACCGGACGGCTAGGCTGGCACAGTGGCTAGACCAGTATGGTGACTGATTTGACGTGGTAGGAAGACGGGCACAGTAACTCAGAACGGCACGGCAGCAATACTACTTGATGACATAACCAACACCAGCCTAGCACGATGGCTAGTCTGATGTGGCAGCAAGACTGGTACGGTAACTCAGATCGGCATGGCGGCAATACTGCTCGACGACAAGACTGACACGACAGCTAGTCTGGCGTAACGGCTAGTTAGACGCGGCAGTTAGATGGACATGGTAACTCAGACTGGCACGGCGACTAAACTACTCAACGACAAGACTGACATGGCAGCACAAGGTTTAGCCTGCCCTCTGGTCAAACAAGCAAAGAAGAGAAAGAGGGGAAGTGAAGACTAACTTGACTCTCGCTAGATCTTCCAAAAGAGACGAAGGTGAAATAAAACTGATGATGAAATAAGGATGATGGAAAATGAGGTGAAATAAAAATGAGAGAGACGAATTAAAATAAAATAAGATTAGAAGATGGAACGACATAAAAATGAATAAATTAAAATAAAATGAAGTAAAGGAAAATAAAATAAAAGGGATAAAAGAAAAAGAAATAAAATAAAATAGGGTAAATAAAATAAAAGAGGTAAATGAAATAAAGTGAAACAAATAATTAAAATAAAATAGGATGAGGTAATGGGAATAATATAAAAGGGGTAAATAAAATGAAGTGGAATAAAATAAAATAAATGAGGTAAATAAAATAAAGCAAAGTAAAATAAAATAAATAGGATGAATAAAATAAAGGAAATAAAGATTCAAATTAAAAAAATGAAGTAAATAAGATAAGGTGAGGGAACATAAAATAAAATAAAATAAATAGAATAAAAGAAAACAAACTAAGGTAACATGAAGTGGGTGAGATTAAATTAAAAAAAAAAGGTAGGTTGGTAAGAGAGGGAGAGAACTTATCATTGGGTGTTATTGATGAGAGGGTTAGATGAAAATGAAGGGAAGGGTACGAAGGAGTTGAATGAAACTTAGCGAAATAAAATTAAACGAAAAAGGAGGTGGGGGTTTGGCGTTGGGTTTGGAGAGGGAAAGAGGCACGAAAGTTTCGGTGTTAATGAAACGAAAAAAAAAAAAATTGCAAAAAAGGGAAATAGGTTTCGCTTTTGGGTTTTAAGAGAGAGAGAACGATGAGGTTGCAGGGAAGAGAAATGGTAGCGAGATGGAAAGGTGAACGGGAGGCGCTGAAGAGCAAAAGAGGACATGAATAACGAACGGCTGAGAGAGAGGACGACAGAAAACATATGGGTGGAAGCGGATGGCAAGATGGCTGAGATGGCTTGGGCGTGGACGAGGGGGTGCGACAGCTGGGGAAAGGTGGCGGAGATGGCAGTTGTGCTGCCGCCTGGGTAGGTGAATAGAAGGACAGGGGATACAAGGTTGTAGGCGACGGAACATGGGAAGAGCTTAGTTGCAAGTGGCAGCTGAAGCAGAGTGGGAATGGTAGCGGAGATTGGGATGACAGGTAAGTAGCTGTTGGTGGATGGCAACTGATGGTGGTTGCGGACGATTGGGAAGCAAAGAGGAGTGAGCGAGAGGTGGAGATGCGTTTTTTTTAAAGAGAGAACAACGAGAGGATGGGAGAGAGAGGGAGTGGTAACAGGTGGAGAGAGAAGGGGCAGTAGCAGGTGGAGAGTGTAAAGTGGTGCAGCAGTGAGAAAAAAGGGGAGGCAGCAGTGGGGTGGCTGAAAGAAGCGCACAACGATGGTTGTGGTTCACCCGCGGCGATGGTTGGTTCACGCGCGACGTTACGGGTTGGCTCACGCACGGCATTAGGAGCTGGATTCACGCGCGACGTTAGGGTGGAGTTCACGCGCGGATAAGGTAGGTTGCAAACGGCGATAGGAAAGATGGCTTGCAAACGGGCGATACGGAAGAAAAGTTTGGGAAACAGTGGTCGTGCGGGACCACTGATTGTGAGGGAGAGAAAGGACACATGAAGGTGCACAACGGGGGTGATGTGAGGGAACACTGAAAAAGAAGAAAAAGGGCGGTGGACACGAGGAACTACCAGAAAAAAAAAGAAGAAAGTGGACCCGAGGGTGTACAGGGAGCAAGCGGACGTACAGGGGTAAAGAAAAAAAAAAGAGAAAAATTGTGGTCATGCCAGACCACAGGGAGGGAGAGAGAAAGGTTGTGGTCGTGAGGGACCATAGGGAAGAGAGAGAAAAATTGTGGTCATGCGAGACCACAGGGAGGGAAAGAGAAAGAGAGGTTGTGGTCGTGAGGGACCACAGGGAAGAGAGAAGAGGAGCATTGTTGTCATGCGAGACCACAAGGGAAGGAAAGAGAGAAGAAGAGAAGGAGAAAGAGTGAAACATGGACATCAATGGGTTCCGCCATCCATGAAAGATGAGAGAGAAAGAGGGAGAAAGAGAAGAGAGAGAAAGAGAAGAGAAGAAAGAGAGAGAGAGAGAGAGAGAGAGAGAGAGAGAGAGAGAGAGAGAGAGAGAGAGAGAGAGAGAGAGAGAGAGAGAGAGAGAGAGAGAGAGAGAGAGAGAGAGAGAGAGAGAGAGAGAGAGAGAGAGAGAGAGAGAGAGAGAGAGAGAGAGAGAGAGAGAGAGAGAGAG